CCCAACTGATGCTACGTGGAGTAAGTGTGTGGCACTGATCACACAGAGGGATTGAATAGGAAATGCCAGCCATCCAGCAGTCTTGGAAGTGATCACGGACTGGTAAAGAAGGCAATAATTTCCATATTGCCAGAGAAGGAGGTGATGCATGTTGAAGAGGCCTCACCTTGTGTGCTAAAATGGACTGCTGTGGTTTAACCCCAGCTGCAAACTAAGCACCACACAAAGCTGCTCACTCAGCGCTCCCCAACCACCCTCAGCAGGATGTTGGAGAGAATCACAAGAGAAACAGTGATAAAACTCACAGGTTCAGAAAAAGACAGTTTAATGGGACAGAAAAAGAAGAAAATAATAATAATTATAATAATGATAAAAGAAATAGAATATACAAAACCAAGGAATGCACAGTGCAATTGCTCACCACCCACTGACCGATGCCCAGCCGGTTCCCAAGCTGCTGCCCCTGGCCAGATTTGTTTACCAAACATGATGCCACACGGTATGGAATATCCCTTTGGCCAGTTTGGGTCAGCTGTACCAGCTGTGTCCCTTCCCAGCTTCTTGTACCCCTCCAGCCTTCTTGCTGGCAGGGCATGAGAAGCTGAAAAGTCTTTGCCTTTGTATAAACATTGCTTAACAACTAGAAATATCAGTGTGTTATCAACATGATTCTCATATTAATAAGTCCAAAACACAACACCATACCAGCTACTAGGAAGAAAATTAACTCTCTCCCAGCCAAAATCAGAACAGTTATGAAGTTTGTAACTTGGTTATTCACCTCAGTATAGTAAGTATAGTGCTTAATACAACTAATACAGAGAGAAAAATTCAGTGAGACACTTCAGAGGAATTAAAGGAAACATTCAATAGTTGACTGTCTAAATTTTCTAGGTAGGTGCAAGGTAATTATCTGATGATATACAAAAAGAGGGAAGGAAAGAGAAAGTGAACATATAGTCTTATCTAGATATCACAATGCCTTTTTTTTTTTTAATCTAGTAATGACACCAACCATTGAAACTGAATTGCTTACATATTGAAAATAGATGGAGAAAGATTAGAATCCACACTGCAGTTGATGGCAGTGTAATCATGAAGCTGCAGTCACATTACGGCTCTCAAAACAGCTGCCATCTACTATTCTCAGCAGAGATTAACCTAATTGTACCTTACTATGATTCTTATTTTCAAAATGGCTATTTCCTCATGTAATTTCCAAGTGACAGAAGTCAAGTTGATCCTGAGATGACAATCTCCCCTAATGTTTCAGAAATTGTAATGGATCAAATCACACAGGACAGAGATAACAATTTCCTTGCAAGTCCCCACATGAGTAATAGCTGTCTTGAAAAAATAAGGAACAGAGAAATTAAAGTTATCAAGAACATAATGTGTTACACATCCTTAATTTTAGAAAAAAAGAGTAATTTTCACACTTAGGATTAAAGTATTTTGATCCTTTGCAATGCAGCTAAATATGAATTTCCTACCAGACACATCTAAATCATGTTCTCTTAGATTGCTTATTATATTATTAGTTTGACTAGAATCTGTAATTTGAGTTACACAATTATCAACACTATAATTTTTGTAATTAAGCACAGTAAATAAATGGATAAATTCAGATTTATAATAATAATAATAATAATAATAGCAGCAATAACAATACTCAAAATAGCATTTCCTCATTAACACACTTCAGAGTGAGAATTTGCTACCAACAGCCCACTGGACATATCGAGCATTCAGACTCATCTCTGAAACAGTTTATTTAGCAGTAGGTAGATAAAATGGGGGCAAAGGCAAGGAAAGAAATGGGATAGCATTTAAGTTCTGAACAACACCTTGACTCATTTTCCACATGCATGACTCAGCATCACCGTAATTGCTTATCAAAAAAATAAATCATCTAGGTTCGCTCTAACTTTTCTCTAAACTGGAGACAGTATTTATGGTAAGCATAATCTAACTGATGGTTATGAAATGATGAGACTGTTTAGACAGATGTCTGATTCTCCATGGACATTCTTTCTCCAAGAGAATTAAGAAAGGCCTGCAGCCTTAACTGTTTATTCTGAATTTATGGTGGCAGAACCGTCCACCTAGATTAGTGTCATCTGCCCTTTTAGAAAAATACTGGAGCCTGTGAGGCTTTCAAAGATAAATTATCTATGTGAAGGGATGATTCCATGCTGACCTACTGTTTTTTCTTTTCTATTAAGATAAACTCAAATGAGGATCTTCTCCAAAAAGACAGTTACATTTAAGATCTCCACCCAAACTACGCATTAAAAATTTGAAAATACTAAATATTACTGTGCTTAATATTCTACCGATTGTCCCCAGGAGTCATAAGGTCTTCTGAAAAAAACTAACCTAAAAGGAAGTGACACGGCAAATATGTTATTATTGTGGCTGTGATACTTGGGTAGAAGCACTGAAGCTGCTGTGAACCAGAGCTGGAGAAGTGGAACTCACTAAATAGCAACAGATCTGTCCATTGCAGGAGTATTGCAAAACTGAAATAATACAGCATATACACGCAGTCTCGAGAGAAAACATCCCACAAGAATAACAACTGTCAGGTAACTTGCTCACTGGTCCAGCATCAGTAGTTGAACAACACAGTCCCAATTCTTTTCCTATAAATAGATCCTACCAACACATGCACTGCAGAGGGCAATGTTTTGAACATCCTGTAAAAGCACTGGCTCACAAGTTCAGACTCGTGATGCAACGTACCACAGGCACACTCTGACACTCGCATGGGCCAGTTTTATGTCAGCTCACGTGCTATTTCTTCCCTTACGCAAATGCAATAAAATAAATTTATTAACATGGATAATATTTTACTAGAGGATGAAAGGGTAAGAGTGCATAATGTGGCTGATCATGTGCTACTTCCTTTTCCTAGCAGAGAAACATACTTAAGTTACCCTAGGCAAGGAATGACAAATTAAATGCCTGTCCATTCTTGGCAGAGCAGGAAAGACCATCAGCTGCTGTCTAGAAGTAATGTGAATATAAAACATAAGAGATTAGCACAAGCTCTTTCTGCTCTGTTTGACTAGTTACTCTCCATTTCTCCTAAGAGATAAAAGAACAAAGGATCTCATAACATAGGATTTTTGAAGGACTACAGGGGGAAAAAAAAAGAAAAAAGGGAAACAAAATCTATTAATTACAGATTTTCATCAGCCCTGGATTAGAGGCCCCATCTTCTTTGAAGGTTCTAATTCACTGAAAGCAATAAGTACTAGTGCTACAAAGAAGAAAGAATGTAAAACTGGGTTAAATTGACAATTACCATTTTCCAAGTAAAACTTCTAACCACAGAACAGCTTATGTTCTTCTAATAATTTAGTTTTTCACATACTGCCTTCCCATAACACCCAGTTAAACAGAATTGGGTAAATTAACTTAAGCATTTTGTACCTCTTGTGAAAATAGCACGCTTAAGAAATTGTGAATGAAGGAATGCAAAACAAAAATATAAATTGATGTTTTGATTTTTAAGCTTCCTACCTTCCAAAAATTACATTTACAATTTTTTTTTTTCATTTACCAAGGTCTATAAAAAGCATTCAAAACTAACAAAAATAATGCAACAGTGTGAGTTGGATACACTAAGTAGACTACCTCGACAGCAGCTATTTATATTTGAAAACTTACTATTTCCTGTTATGAGATGGTGTATAGTGAATGAACAGTCATGGCTTAAGCTGTACCTCTCTAAACAATAAACTGAAGAAGCCAAATATAATCTCCTTTTATGTCTCCACCAGCTGACACATCCTATGGAATTCATGGTATATACTGAGAGTAATCAGAAATACTCTGTTTAGCTTTCAGACATATAAGCAGAGGGACACAAGTTCTTCTATATTGTTTTGACTTTGTGTTGGTGTACCAGGATACATACACTGAAAGAAACAGGTTCTTATTTAAATTGATTTACATTGCTGGCTGACTTTCATTCTTACACTGAAAGGAAATATAAATGTTATTTATGCCCATAATAATGAGATAATAATGAGTAGAATTACTACAGGCATCAGTCTTGTATACTTCCCTGTTTTGAGACTCAGATTACAAAAATAACAAATTCAAATTCTTTGAAATAAATCAAACCATGCCTCCAGATATGATTGCTATTATTATTGCTTATAAATAGCTATTTATATCATGGAAAATACAGTCAATAGCCATCTACCCTCTATATCAAAACAGGCTGTTTTCCTCATGGGAATTTAAGATGAGAATGTTGGCAGTCAGGAAGTGTTGAAAGAAAGGGAAGGAGAGGAAGGAAGGGAAGGAGAGGGAGGGAGGGGGAGAGGGAGGGAGGAAGGCAGGCAGGCAGAAAGGAGAGAGACAGGAGACAGAGAGAAAGAAAGGGAAGAAAGAGAGAAAGAAGGGGAAGAGAGAGGAGAGGGTAAAGAGGGAAAGAGAGATAGAGAGAAGGGCAACATCTAAAAAATGAAAGATTAAATGTAATTTTTTTAATGGCCTCTAACATGCATGCTGAAGGAAGTAAAGTTTCTGACCAGTGTATAAGGAGATTCTCAAGAATTAGCCTGCAAATTTGCCATTTGATTGATAAATCAGAGATTATCATTGCTCTGTCATTAATACTCTGCATAATTATTCACAATAAGCTTGAGATTCAGGGAGTCACAAAAGTCTTAAAATGGAAAAAAAATTAATACTCGAAACAATCAGCTGTTGCTCTTGGTACTCATTCACCCCAAACTTGAGCAGACAAGATCTTCAGTATAACCATGATTTTACCCTTCCTAGCAATCTGAACAAGTCAGGTATATATGAAAATGCATTCAGTGATCCAGCTAACATCTAAAGGCAATTTAACAATCATTTCACTTACTGGACTGCAATAAACCTTAAACTGAATTGTGGCCCAGTTCTGCAGAAAAATCTCCATTTTCATGTACATGCTTTATGTATCAAACGCATCTGCAGCATAAGAAAATGGATCTTACCACTGCAGCTGGAACTTGAGGCATTTTTGCAGCTGGTGTTCCTGGGCGTGGGTAAAACTGATTAATAAACAAGCTCGGAAACCTGTACTGTTCTACAAGTTTCATTGTTTCTTGAAAATCTTCATCTGTCTCTCCTGGAAAACCACAAATGATGTCTGTAGCAATTGTTATTCCAGGCACTCTGTAAAGAAAGTAGAAAGGAAAACTTAATAAGGAATGTAAAAGTCTGGCTGCCCTAAAAGCTCATTTACACAGACTTATAACTCTTCAACTTTAGCTACAGAAATTAGGACCTAAAATGATTTTTGGAAAAAAAAAAAGATATTTTAACACCATTGCTTGGTAATGAAGGATGCATTTGGTACTCAGTCGAGAGTGAATGGAATAAAGATATTGCAGCAAATATTGGATTAGTACTGTGACAGAAGAGTGAAAACATCTAGATCAACTCTTCCTTCATTTGAAATTAGAGGTGATCAGCAGAGCTCATTATTTCTTGAATTCTCGTTGTTTAATACATCACATTTAAACCGTTTGAGACTTAGTCACTAGAAAATGTCAACCATTTAATGTTTTTCAACGCTGCTATCAAAGTAGAACAGGGTATCCAAAAGAGGGGGACTGGCACGTCACATAACCCAGCAAATTCAAACAAAACTGGCTTACAAGTCAAAAGGACATCTCTTAGTCACAAGTTAATTTCTAACTCAGTACTCTATAAAAATCAGCCTATGCCTTGCTTCAAAAGAAAAACAAAATAGTTAAGCTCACAAATGCACAGGCACGGAGGTCTCCTGTTATTTAAGCAAGGTCAGCATTTCCCAACTGCTCCCCTTGGACTGAATATGTAGAACCCTTACACACAGCAGCTCAACAGAGAGAGCAGCTAACAAGAGGCAGCCGCCAGACACGGCAAGTTGTACCAAGGTTGCAGAAGGATGTACCAAAGGGGGTGAAGTAAGGGATCCCTTAGCTGAAATTGTGCCACAGTAACAGCCTTGGACATGGTGGTAACAGGCCATGGAGTGTTTTCCCCAGTAGACACTGGAGCAGCTGTCAAGGCTTGCACCCAGACTGGGCTTCAGATGGTGGATGCAGCCCTCTAAGTCCCAGGCTGCAAGGAGTCCTTGAGGGCTCTCTCTAAAACCAGGAGAGAGGACTCTCTGTCCCGAAGGAGCAGGATAACCTTAGGGGTCTTCTCCAATCTTAATGATTCTATAATTCTCTGCAACTCAGTAGTTTGAAGTGCCCCTTGATCTGCAGTACCGAAGCAGGTAGTGTCAATGCTCACTACCAAGGGAAGCAAGAACTCTGGAGAAGGGGAAGGGTGGAAGCTGGTGACTTCTGACACCAAGAGGAAGGATCTTGACTGATGAATTTCAAGGTATGAAGTTCTGCTTGCTATCAAGTAGCAACAGAATTTGTTAGCTTTATGGACTGAGAAAGCAGCAGCACTGTATTCTGCAACATGATTTTTTTCATATCACAAACATCTTGTGCAGCAATAGTTAGCTCTTGGAAGAAAGAGCACATTCCTTTATAAATCAGTATAAATCACCTAACATCAGCTGCCATTTCTCAGAATATGAACAGAACATTCATTGCATTTGACAAAACCATTATAATGAAGTTATTTTAACCGTTTTAATGACACTATTGGCAACAGCCAAAGCATTTATTACCAATGGTAGTAGTAATACCACCCTTTATAAAGGCTTGGTTGTTTCTATAGCAACATGAATTATAAGGTCCAATCAAGCTAGATACAATAAAATATGCTCTTTTTCTCCATAACACAAGTTGTCATTCAGTTAAAAGGAAATTACATATTTTAAAAATTCATAAACTCCACAAATGTCTGAGCTCCATTTGCTGATAAGGTGTTAATTATCTTAGTAATTAGATTTATTCCTGGATGGAATTATTACACACAATGAAAAGCTTGGGTATGAAAAGAGAATAAGAATCACAGTGTATTCAGCAATAGCAATTAATTACAGTTCAATCCAGTGTAACTGCCTAAAATATGACATTGCACAGTGCATTTTTATATCATTGTGGAATATGTTGTTTTCAAAGAAGTTTAAAACAGGGAGAAAAGCACAAGATTTCACTCAGAATAAAATAAAAAATGTCAAAAATCAAGCTCTTAGACTTTTTCAAAGCACAGATGAACAAAAATATGTACAATTAGTTCCACATGAGAAACATAATTTCTTAATGAAAAAAAAAGGAGCAGAAAAAAGATATAATCACAGAAAAATATAAAACACACACACTTGAAAATTAAAGTGACCTTTGCTCTGACAGCCTGAAAGAAAGCAGTACAAAATTCTTTATTACATAGATTCAGATGAGGCTTAAAAAATTGCCTCAGCTATGAAATAAGATGGAAAATTCACTAGAACAGGTTCTTGTGCATCATCCAACATTGAATTTTTTTACACGAAATGCAGTTTATCTATTTTGAAGCAAGCAA